CCTAGTTTGTGTCGAGTGGACGTTAACCCCCATTTGTCTCTCTCTCTCTCTGTAATATGTTAACAGGTCATTTTAGCTCGTGGGCTGATGAATTCTCCGAGAAAACCCATTTCCGTCGAAACCAAAAAATACTATTTGAAAAACCCATCATTAAGGGCTGCGTCATCTACGTAAGTATTTTGTCATATGATGAGTTCTCACTGATGTATAATATGCAAGGTAGATCAGACGATGATTATTAAGAATTTTGTTAATTGATGATATAATGGATTTTTTTTCAGGTAAGGGTATTATATATGGTGTACTTATTAATATTTATATATCATAACAATTATTGTATCGATATGCAGCGACTCTTTTACGTAAACACGGTCACATGCCCTGTTATTCCAGAAATAATATGGTTAATGTCATTGATTAGCATGAAATTTGAAGAATATGTTCAGTGTCAGTTTTGTTTAATAAATCTATATCTTAAAATAATAAATTGTGCAATCGACGAGAATTTCCATCTGATATATACCACAGAGACTAGACCTTGTATTGGCACCAACTGCTATCAGTTGAAATTAAACACCAGTTATGTCATTACGACCTGGCCATGATATATACTATTCAAAAAAAGTAGGGGATATTTGATTTTGGGGGCATAATACTAAAATATGCAAATGACTACGAAAAAAGTCACTATAGAACCTAACAGAAGAAACATTTCCAGTTACATGTGACGCCCAAACGCACCAATAGCTACCGCATGGAATGCAGGTGATGCTTGGGATCATCATGGGGGTCCAACCCAAAACACGACTCTGACTTTGAATGTTACAGTCATTGTGGCATTGAATTCCAGGGTGGAAACATCAGTTTAATTGTTTTAGTGACCAGAAAACAAATTTTGATGTGCGTCGGCTTACCCAAAATGAAAGGTTACGTGCCCTTGGCATGCTACAGATCGGCACAACACAGGCGGTTGTGGCGCGGACGATGAATGTTTCTCAGTCTGTCATAAGTAGGCTATGGTCCAGATACCGTGATACACAATCTGTACAGGACAGACCACGCTCAGGTCGACCAAGTGCGACAACTCAAGCCCAGGATCGATTTATCCGTACCTTGGCCTTGAGAAATCGTGTCATCACAGCAAATCAGATCAGCGCTCGTCTTCAAACAGACACTGTTGTGAGAGTGAGTGGCCAGACGATTCGGAATCGACTGCGTAGGGGTCACCTTCGCGCCCGACGTCCTCGCGTGATCCCTTGTTTGAGAGATCATCACATTCAGGCAAGACGCCGTTGGTGTAGGGATCGTCAACACTGGGATAATCGACGCTGGAGCAATGTGATGTTTTCAGATGAGTCAAGGTTCACTGTTGATTTTTTGGACAGACGTAGGAGGGTGTGGCGTCGTCGAAACGAGCGCTTCCAAGACGTTAACGTCATCAGACATGATCGATTTGGGGGTGGTTCTGTTATGGTGTGGGGAGGCATCACTGTTGCTGGAAGAACGGCTTTACATGTTGTTGCAGGGCGTGTTACAGGCCAGTACTACCGGGACAACATCTTGGCAGTCCATGTTGTGCCGTTCGCACGACGTCATGGCCGCCGTTTCATCTTCCAGGATGACAACGCAAGATGTCACAGGGCCAGGATCGTTACAGGTTACCTCCAACAACAGAACATCACCACATTACCTTGGCCAGCACTGAGTCCCGACCTCTCCCCCATCGAGCATGTCTGGGACATGCTTGGACAGAGGTTACGTCAACGTCAACAACGTCCTGCCAATGTCCAAGAACTTGCTGCTGCGTTGCAACAGGAATGGGACAATCTGGACCAAAATGACCTTAGGCGTCTCATTAGGAGTATGCCACGTCGGATCAATGCTTGTTTGGCAAACAGAGGAGGATTTACCCGTTACTGACTTGGTTGTGATGCTGTGGTAACTTTGCTGTTTGACCCCGGGTATCATTTTACCCTTATAATGGTCAGTCTGTGCCTTACTTAGTCTAACGATCATTTGGAATAAATCGATGAATGTGAACTTCATTTCATTTTGTCATTTGTTTCTTCGTCAGTTTCATTAGGTGACTTTAATAACACTTAAAAATCAAATATCCCCTACTTTTTTTGAATAGTAAAATGCTGCAGTGAAACATTTAATTTGATGCACTTTACGTCGAGGACGTGAGGTCTCTTCCTGTTAAATAAACTGTTATTGTTTCAAATAGTATTTATTATTACAATGTAATACATGTCATGTATGCAACCCAATCTATGATATGGAGCAGTTGTAATACTTTTAGTATAATTTATGCTCGATAAATAACATATTCGCATAATATGTGATATGTACTTAAAATACTTAAATCAACTTAGTCTGTAATTGACAGTTGACACATAAAAAAGAGTTATTTATCGAAAACATATGTCACTCATTTACCACCAGAATTACACGTGAGTGGAATTATTCTAATTGCATCATTTGATTTAAAGTAACCAATCATTTTGTTAATTACACAAGTTCAGGGCCATGATCACGCGTTATTGTGCATGATATTCATTTACCTTTAAAAGAAACCGGGGAACCCTGTAAGTCAGACTTGCATTAGATTCCAGAGATCGAGGGTACATCTGAGTTCCTAGACAGCCGAGAGGCTGGATAGGGTGGAGAAGTGGTTTTAGCTATATAGTATTGTAATTTGTGCTATGCTTGTATACCTGTATTCAGTTATATGCTATATAAAATGTAGAAGCGAACTATGCATTATTATTCCTGGTAAGACAAACGTCTTAAGAAACTGGAAGAAGTAAATACACAACGTGAAGCAGAAGTAAAGACAGCTAGAGACAAATTCTAGACGATCACAAGGCTACAGAAATATGTAGTAAGAAAAGATGCATGGGTTCTACGTAGGATGTGGCGAATGGTTTGACAACGTCCGCTCTCCACGTCAGACAAAAGACCTATGGTGCTACACAGTAGGCCTTTCGATAAACAGAAACAGCAACGATTGTCGTTTACCCAGGGCCTAAAATAACGTGCCTTGGAGCACGAACGTGCCTTGGAGCACGAACGTGCCTAGAAAACCGTGCTCTGAAAAATGGTGTAGTGCTCTAAAAAAAAGTGTAGCCAGCAATGCCTCCTGACCCCTAATTGGGTGTTTCTTCTTGTGTTCTTGTGGTGTGGTTAGTTGCAGAAATCAGATCAGATCACCTGGCGCTCACTCGCGACTACCTCGGATGAGTCGAGTGAGCGCCAGCCGCATCAGCTTACTAGTCAGGTTTTTCAGTAGGCTTGGTATTCAGTCCGCTCCGCTGCGACCTTGACCGTCATTTCACTTTCACTTTGAAAACGTTTGTTTTTGACTTATTTTCACGTATTTTCGGTGTTATCTGCGATTTTAAGTATTGAAATATGGATGGGGAACCGGAGCTCGATCCGCCGCCGCCTAAAAAGCAATGTAGGCAAACGTCGAAAAGAGCGTAAGCGACATGCCATTGTCTCGCGTGCTGAGAACGTTGTCGCCTGAAATGTTATACAGCGGCAAAGCATCAAACGAGGACATAGAGAGAGCTCACCAGACAATAGCATAGGACCAGTGTAAGAAATCATTTATGTCGGCGTATGATGAAGTGATTGCCTATCTTGGTACTTGTTCGGGTAAATTGAAAACTTTGGAGGACATATTGAAAATTATTGTTGTAAATGAAAATTGGCTACCTGTGTCCGTGGCGATCGCTCGTGTAGTAGCAGCGAAGCCACATCCATGTGATGTAGAGCGTTTAGTAAGCTCATACAACCAACTAAAAGATAAAGATCGCTGTAGCTTGTCTGAGGAGACCATGGACGCATACCTGAACATTCGCATCAATATGCCCTCGTTGTCTTAATTTGATGTTCGACCAGCAGCCCATGACTGGATGAAGAAAGTAGAACGGAGAGACAAACCGGCATCCAAGGCTCTTGAGCAGGCATGGTTCAAAGGGGTTTTTCGAGGGGCCAAATAGAAATACTTCGCCTATGTCAGCCTATGTTCCATAAAATCTCGACCTGGCTCCACATTCACTCCCTAAAGAGACTTTATAAGACAATAATCAGATTTTTATTTTGTACCCTTGTGAAAACCCTTGTTAATGATAGGGTTCAAATCATGGGATTTGAGTTTTGATGTAAGAATGGTAGAAATTGAATTACAGTTCTGTATTATCGTAACGAAAGTGGTGTGTTATCTTCCTAGTGCTGAGTTTTCATGCCAAAAATGCTGCTCGCGACAAAATAAATTCCTATGTAAACTGCACGAGAATAGTCCACAGATGCCGGTTTCAAGCTCTCAATTTTCAAAATTTTTGGGGGGAGGCCTCCAGACCCTTTGCCGGCGCGCTGAGAATTTAACCTTATTTTACGCTATGCATTCACCGGAATGTCAAGTTATGATTTCACCAAAAGATTGACGGACATACAGACAGACTGACGAACCCATTTTAATCGTTCCCAGCGTGTTTTGAAAGGTGTGGGACAAAAAAATATGTTAGCATGAACCTTAGACCACATTGATTGTATTCAAATAACCAACTTAAAACCCCATTCTCTTCCTTTCGTTCCTTTCATATGAACAAACAATATACATGTAAAAGTTTAAATAACGATTGACACACAAAGTGGTTTATATAAATCTATGAGTCATGTAGTGTTTGAAGAGTACTTAACGTTACTTGACTACTCTTTTATTATTACTACATGTATTATTACACATTTCCATAGCGCACAACTGCCACATAAATGAGCTCATGTGCACTTTATAAAGACATATTATAGTACAAGACAACATTACATTTACAAAATAAAAAAAGACATCAAAGAGCATACTTGGTAAAATATATAGATAACAATTGTTATTTAGACAAACTTACATGTAATTAGAAGTGAAATAGCCCTGGATAATCTACCTATTAAATGGTCACTTGGTAAAAAAACCTTTTAAATAAATATGTCTTTAGTTTTAAACGTAGCAGTGGGTAATTTATTCCATGGTGTATGTACATAGAATGAGCGGTAACCATAATAATAATGATTATAAGAGCGTTGTATAAGTAGAGGATCGCAGATTTCTAGTGGGTCTGTAGTATTCAAGAAGCTCAGAAAGATGCGGCGTGGCCAGAGTATTCGGACATTTAAACACAAGTAACAAAGTTTTGTATTCTATTCCTAATAATGAAATATTTAAATGTAGTTTACAATATAGAGGCACAGTGCTTTGGAATTCTCTCCCATATTCACTTAAAAATATTAAAAATCTTCATTTATTTAAGAAAAATATCACTAGGCATGTTATTTCTTCTTCTTCTTAACCTGTAGCCTATATTTAATATATCAACTACTTACTACATATTATCTATCATATTACTTTTAGTTTTAAAGTTACACTATTTAGCTTATCAATATATATTTGAATGTTTTGTGTTTGAGTATTTGTTAAGTGTCTTGTTCTATTACTGTCTTTTTCATTTCTTTGTTATAAAGGGCAAAATTGTAAACAGGCTCTAAGCCTAATTTTTCACCTTTGAAAATAAAGATATTATTATTATTATTATTATTCACTAGTGGGTTTTCTCCAGGTACCACGGTTTCCTCCCACAGCTAAAGACCCTTACGCACAAGCGAATTATTGAAATAAAATTGAACCATATGTTAGACCCAAAATGACCTAGTCTGTGTCGAGTGGACGTTAAACCCATCTCTCTCTCTCTCTCTCGTTCTCTAGTTTTGTGGCCATGAGTATGAGTTGATACTGTCGGTTACATGTTTATGTACCTGTGGTAGCTCTATAAAACGTTTAGCTGCAGGATCGTTCGAATTCTGGAAAAGAAAGTTGAAATCTCTGACAATAAGGAGCTCACATTTAGATATTGATACTTTATCAAGAAGTTCACCAAATTCATCAAAGAAAAGTGATAAATTATCATTAGTTGGAGGGCGATATACAGCAATGAGCTGTACTCTTTTTCTTTTTTTTTTATACTAAGTAAAGTGTCAGTAAACTTTTCATTGGACTGTTTTGTAATATTCATACATGATCTGTAGACTAATCCGACACCACCACCAAAATAAAATGAGATGAAAAGAAATGGGGTTTAACGTCTTACTGTTCTGCTCCGACTGGGCTAATGAAGACGGGATTACGCCATACAGTGTGCCATGAGGGGAAATTTTGCCCAGGCAGCGGTACTATGACCTACTCTTATATCGAATGGATCTTTTACGTGCACGCCAATGTATACACGGGAACTCGGTTTTTCGTCCCATTCGAACGACTAGACAGCTGTCCTTGTTTGGCCCTATGTCCATCAAAATTGACAAGGGGACCATGTCGGGAAATCCCGCTGAAGTTTCTCGGTCAACACCTCCAGGTTAGCGAGCTAGCGTCTTGCTCACTTAGTCACAGTGGCTATTATAATCATTAAACGTAGTTGTTTTATTTTTCACGGACCTTGATCCATTCATAAGACACAACATCCCAAACTTAGGCTGCCTGTCTACAGCTAGCTCCGCCTGAGAACAGACCCTAAGCTAATTAACCGACATTTTAATTCCTACATCGACGATTTTAGTCGAAAACACTGAGTATGCTTTTAGTAATTTTTAGAAGTATTTATTTCTCTTCTATTGTCATATTGAATGAAATTAAATATATTTATTTAGCCGCTGTGTGTATGAAAGATATCAAACTAATCAAAGCCGAATCACAAAATAGTCCTCTAATTATTCAATATGGCGGCGCCCATAAAAGGTAATTTCACAGAGGCGGTTTTGTTTGCGAATACAAATTTAGGAGTATCTAACCTTGTTTTGAAAGATAAACAGATTGAAACTCTAAAGACAGTTTACAATGGCAAAGAATTTATTGCAATATTACCCACTAGTACATATTATATATCGCTTTTACCGGATTGGCAGAAGTTTACATTTTGCTAAAGACACGTGTTTACATAAAACCCGTGCGTGCTCGGGCTATTTTTACTCTCTTGTGTACAAAATGATCAACGTGGGCGTTTTAAATGGCGGCAGTGATCATAATGACGTATGACGTAGATGGATCGCTGCGTGCAGTTTGAAGACACAATTTTAATTCAAAATTAAGTAGGCCTACATTTATTTTCTTGGTGAGGGTTATAATGCCCTTTTATAGAGTGAACAATGTTTCCTTTATTGAGACGGAAGAGTATTTTAGGAAACTCCGGTTTGTAATAAAGAGATTATTCAGTGTAAACTGGGTCATTAGACGCGTGAATTTGTGTATTACTGTCGTATTACGTGTCCGTATGAACACAGTTTAACACGATACTTGAGATTTAGCTCCTTTAGGAATGCTGTCTGATCGTACATGCCCTTCACCGTTTGTGTTCGTCCCTATCTGCAATATGAAAATACCGCTCTCCCCCACCTCTGTTATAGGGCTATTTTGGAATCCGTACCCCCTATTTTTCACTGTGATTTTTCTTTGCTCGCCAAAAGGAATCATTTCTCGTCACATCTGATACAGATTTATAATAATTCAACTCTATTTTAAAGTAGAATTTTGCGAAATGTACAACTGACGTGAACGCGTGTTGTTAAATCTAATTAAATTGTAACTTTTATTAAAAAATAAAAATTGTAAATGTGTAAATGTCTAAAATTGACGGTATAGTTGATAATGTTGTTATCAATGATAATCATTAGCAAAACATTTATTTCTTTCACCACATAAGCGTATAAGATGTCCCCCCTACGGGCGTCTTTTGAGCTCTGCGGGTTGGGTGCAATGCCGAAAATTATCGTGATTGGGGACAAAAACCACGTGGATCGAAATTGGTCTCAAGCATCACCCTATCGATTACTAAAACATTAATATCTAGCACTGTGAATCTGTAACATATTATATAGGATGGCCTTGGGCAAATGGTTTGCTTTGTGGCGGTTGGGGGTAGTGTGCGTGAGAGTTTGTGTGGGGGATGCCTAAATTTGACGGGAAATGTGATAAGGTTGATATTAAACATACATTATGCAAGAGCTAAATCTGCCTATTGCAAGTCTTTATTTAGGCTTCAGATGTTATAGAAATTATTAATTAGACCTTTATTTACACGACAAGCTCAAAATCAACTCTGTAGACCCACAGATGGCTTGGATACAGTTTGGATTTAAACAGTCGTCCATTTAAAATTAAATCAATAAATGGCAGACCAAGCTAACGTTTACCGTTAGTCGCTGATGTCACTACCGGAAACTGGTGATGAAAGGCCTTCCAAGCGAGGCTACCATAGCCATTGAGCATGTTACTTAATAATCGAGAATATGTGGGTGGAGTTATCGTCTGTCAATCAAAGATCGCCAATTCTCATAGACGGTGCAGACACAATTGATGCCTATTTCTAGTCCAAACTTCCAACAGTAACAATTCCGTTCAGAACAAAGTAATTTGACTGAAATTTTCAACATTTTCTTGTTTTAGCATCTATTTTGGAATTATTATGACAAGAATGGCCATCTCGTTATAAAACTCATAACTAATGTATCTTTAAACGTAAAGAAGTGTATAGGTTACTCGTTGGGTATAGCCTTGCGGGTTTAGGACAATTCCTAAAATGGACGGGAAATGTGATAATGTTGATATAAATGATGATTAACTTATAGATTTGTAGCATTTATAGCACTGTACGACTCTATATAAGTGTACATGATGCCGCTTAGACAACTACTTGCTTTTTGGGATACAAAAATATCTTTCGCAACCTTTCCTAAAAGATGATTTATTGAATCCCTTTTTATCAAGGGATTCATTTAAATTTTCAAATTTCATAACTTCTTTTGAATCCAAATAAGCCTTCCAATTTTTCGTAATAAACTGATTATCGTCTTACAATAGTTCAAAATGGAAGTTACTTTTGTATGACGATCCCTGCATTGGCCGAGAAAGTTCATCCAGATTTTCCGGCGTGGTTCTCCCTTGTCAGTGATGCAGAACGGAGGGACTGACAAAGAAAGCTGTCTAGTCGTTCGGATGGGACGAAAAACCGAGGTCCCGTGTACACATTGGCGTGCACGTAAAAGATCCCTTGGCAGTTGGAATTCGATATAAGAGTAGGCCGTAGTGCCGCTGTCCGGGCAAAATTTCCCTCATAGCACACTGTATGGCGTATGTCCGTCTTCATTAGCCCAGGTTAGGAGCAGAACAGTAGGACGTTAAACTCCATTTCATTTCATTTCATTTACTTTTGTATGATTTCATTCGATAACAAATTGTATATACTTCAAAATGATTATGCTAAAGGACAATATTGGTGCCAGTCATTATCACATATGTGATAGAGCTGGTTAAACACATTCCAAATATAATTTTAACACAGAGATCATTGCTATGATAGCTGAGTAATACGGGTTTCATGAATCAGAAGTGACGAACGCCAAAGGAAAACACGAGTCATACCTCTATATAACTGACTGATGTGACGAGTGATAACAGATACACGGCCGGATTTCTGCTCACTAATAATTCCTTCCAAGACCAAAAGTTGTTATATGACTGTAAGAGGATACCTGACAATTCAATAAAGTAATTGAATGTCATTAGATAAGAGAACACGAGAAAAATAGAAATAGTCCGTACATTCCCTTGTTTATATTCATTCTATACATTATAAAAACATGGCAATGAATGCACGGACGTTTTCTGTTTTTCTTTCGTGTTCTCTTTTCTAGTGACAGTTAATTCTTTTTATGAATTGTCAGATATCCTCTCACAGTCTCACACAACAACTTTTGGTCTTGGAAGGAATTATTAGTGAGCAGAAATTCGGCCGTGTATCTGTTATCACTCGTCACATCAGTCAGTTATATAGAGTTCTGAATACGCTATCTTAATTCGGATTGCTCGTTTACTTGATTATCCTTAAACCGTGTGAATTGTAGCTGTTGTCATTATGGGTGTGATATCAAGTATTCCGTTTACTGTACAAATATCAGTCAAGAATCAACATCCGCTTTACTTTAAAACATCGCAGTTTATAGACAAATCATTGGTTGTTATAAAACTCGGGGTTAATTAGCACTTTCATTAAATCCATGTTAAATTTATCGGTCTGGCCGAGTGTCACAAATGATTGTCGTTAATTAAAATCTATTTGATTCTAATATAAATAAGGTATTGAATTGGGTTGTTTTGATATCTTGACACTAGTTTTGTCTGTAGATGTAAAATGTTCAAGAAAGGATAAAATTAATTCGAACCCCAGAGTTTAACATCATTATCTATGGCCTGGGATTCTGACACTTAGGCTATAATTTATATAATATATCACATTTATAATAACAGTGAACATACCATTTTCTATGTAATATATATTCCGAAATGTCTGACTCTTTCCCTAGCCTTTCTGGTTGGCGAAAGGAGAAGGGTCGGAATAAGGGTTCGGGGGGGGGGGGACTAACCAGTCTGATTAAAATATGGATCTATATTTGGTTTCATGTTTTTTTTATACTTTCAATGGCTTCCACTACATTAATATCTGCCCCGTTGTAGTGGAAGGTCGCGTAGGGGGTCATGCGAACTGCTTTTGACGCTATGACGTCAGACATTGATTAACCAAGCAGCGTTAATGTTTTAGTGGGATACCCATAGTTCCGTTGCCTGTAACAGGCCGTTTCATTGGCTAATCCCTCACATCAACAAGAACAAAGGTTATATAACAACTCTTCCAGATCCAAGTGTAGTAAAGACAAGTAAAACGAAATTTTGAACTATAAAAAAAGAAACGAAATAGGATCTCTTTTTTTTAATCAGATTGGGTGCCCCCCCTCCTTTATTCCGGCCTTCTCCTTTCGCCAACCAGACTACAGCCAAAGACCCCCCAATATTAAAGGGAGTCCCAAAATTAGTTTTAAATCTACCATATTGACATACAAATTGCATGTGTGTGAGTGTGACGAACATGCCCTCTTTTTCACTGTTGATGCAGGGGTCCCAGTGACATGTTCAGCCAGGGACCCCACGTAGTACGTACGTCACTTTTCTTGGGTTTTTTAAACTTCAAATGTTCTGAAGTTTGGGAGAATTTTTTCTAAGATTTCGTCCCGGAAATACATTATATAACAAGCAGCACTTGTCGAAGACTGAATCATTATCATTATCCAAAGTTGTGCACACAACACCACAGACAATATAAATGTCAAAGTTAATGGTAAAGACTTTTAAAATAGGTCATTTGAAGTCCGTCATTCAAATGACTAAAGAAAGAGTCATATTTGGGGACTTTCGGGATACAGATTATTTGTAATATGAAGTACTGAAAACCGATATATGTCATTCAGATATTCATACATTATTCATAAAGTAATTTAATATCCTGCATGTTTGGTTTGTACAAGCATTGGAATAACTCTAAATTGTAAAGAATCCACGTTGGATTATTTGGATCTAGCTTTATTTAAGGATTATTTGTATTTCAGTGCGATGGGTTATTTTACAAAGTTGGTTATTCTACTTCTGTGTACCAATAATCATGTTATATGCAGTAGAAATATAACAGGTTTGTACTTATTTTGATTTTTCTGTTGGCTATAAGAAGGAAGTATATTATATGAGATTATATATATGCAAATATGTCAATCGTCAGTGGCGTGGCGACGGGGGTTCCATGGCGATAACCATCCTTCCCCTCAGGCCCAGTCCCCAAAAATTAAAAGCACAGTATATTATATTTTATACGTTGCTATCTGAAATTTTTTCGCGTCTTAAACGCTCGATTCCATTCTGTCGTCATTCTCCAATGCATATGGTCTTATACTAACTCTCACAAAACAGGCAGAATTGACAGGCAGAATTCTGATCCTCCCGTTCACAAGAATTTGCTCCCAGCAGTGACTTTAAAACCCTTCGTAGGCTACTCAAGGTGTGAATTAAATCTTTGCTATAGCTCCTGTACTATATAGCAGAATATCGTATTGGTTGTCATAATATATTATGTATCTTATTTTGACCGTAGTGTGTGCGGACATTATAAGGGTTATGTAAAGTGTGTGACTGTGTGGTCTGATAAGGTAACTTTGTTCCCAACGTATGTTGCTTCGACCTGATCCAGTCTATTCAAAGAATTCAAATCAGTTTGTTTTCCTTCTGAGGCTCAGATTGGAGTGATCTACACATTTCAGTAAAGCTAAAATTTAGTCCGTTAGAGTAACGTCAAGCAGCTATAAAATGAACAGAATTACAAAGTAAAACACCAAAGAATGTTTCGACCATTTTGATTACTCGATAGGCCTATCCGGAAGTTGTAGACCGAAGAAAATAATCGCGTATATTCATTGTACTATTATCCAGGCTGGTACAAAAACGTAAGACGTTATACCCCATTTCATTTCTAAGATACGTTTCGATTATGCATCCTCTAATCTATGTTATTTGCTTGATATTCCTCACAAATGTGTCCTATGTAGATATAACAAGCGGTTGCCATACAAGATACGACCACGTTTTGCAAGAGAGGGACAGAGAGAAGAAGCTAAAAATAATTGATTTTTCGTACAATCATGGGCCATTATACAAGAGGTTACGGTGCGACATGCGTCAATATTGACAGGAACTGAGATCAGTGTGTTATAAACATACATTTTAAGTTTCATCAAAATCAGATAAACATTGTGACCTCCAGAGAGAGAGAGATAGAGAAATGGGGTTTAACGTCCACTCGACACAAACTAGGTCATTTCGGGACTAACATATGGTTTAATTTTATTTCAATAATTCGCTTGCGCATAGGGGTCTTTAGCAGTGGGAGGAAACCGGAGGACCCGGAGAAAACCCACGAGGTTGGACAGGCGACCCTACTCCTTGTCACGTACAACCGGGGATTCGAAACCACGCCAGTCGACTCAATGACAGACTTTATGATACAGCGCGCGCACGCTAACCATTCAGCCATCCAACCCCCCTGTGACCTCCAGAGTGTCCACAAGCTAAAAATGTTTTCGTACAATCAGGAGCCAATACTCCATGAAATTACGGTCTGATGTATGCCTATATCAACATCAGATACAAATTGTGACCACCTGTAGACATATACGTCCATATGGGCGTATAAAAAGGGGTTTGGGTGTTTACCTAAATAGCTAATTACAATCATCGGCATGCCAGAGCAGAGCCACATTTTAACCCGAGATATCGTGGTACGTCGTAGGACGTTCGAATGGAACTCGCGTTGCACAGATAACCACAGAAATGACGAGTTCTGTACTCGCATTGCACGGGTAACCACAGGAATGACAAGTACTATAATATATTGTAAGTCTCAAAATGACCGAGTGGTGACGAGATTTCCATTCCTATTGAGGCTCTTCAACATTCAGCCAATTAGAACGATAGCTGTTATTATCTCGCATCTACAGTAGCTTAAGAATGTTGATGATGTGCAAATGTATAAACGGGATATCGATCTATTTTCAGGCAGTTTAAAATCACGTGATAACTCAGATGTTACTGAAGTAGCCTGTTCCATTTTTACCATGCTCCAAAGATGTTCCGACTTACTGAATGGTTGTGGTCACGTGTGTGATGAATTCAGTAAAGCGTGTGAATGTTCAATTGGTCGTAAATTCTTTATTGCAACATGTCAGAAAAATACCATATCAGAAATAGTGACATTTCTTCGAAAGCGAGGTCCTATAGTTGATAATAATAATAAGACCGGTGTAAAATGGGAAAGTCTTGCAGAAAATCCCTTAAAAATAACAAACTATGTAATGTCGAACGTCTTCAATGGTCAACTGTTCCACAGATATACACGCAGGATGCAACACGCCATCTCTTCTGTTCGTACTTCAGATAAAAGAACTCTCAGAACAGGTGCGTTATTTCATATTTTATATCCCCAAAATATATTGGAGAAAACAAAAGGGAATTTAAGTATCACTTTAGATATTTACATGCTTGGGCATATGCAGGTAGCCCGTAACAGTAGATATAGGAGGCGAGATGGGAGGGGGGTGGGTGGGTGTTATCTATGAGATTACTAAAGTCTCGACTTTGAACCCCGAATCTCCAGATTGTTATTCATTTCGCAATAATTACATGTCATTTAAAGATTTAACATAGTTTTTGTTTAACCGCTAAAACAAACGGTTGTTTGTTGACTGGCAATCGATTCGATGATATGGAACGGCTTACGTACATCCATGGTTTGTTGTACGGGGTGTTGGTTAATCGAGACTAGTGTTGGCATGTATTTCTAATTACACAATTCACGGATTGCCCGTACAAATTACACAATGTCTGTATGAAAATCTCAATTTGTAATTAGTGAAAAACAACCACATTCTCTCTTTGAAGGGTGGAAAAGGGGAAATGTCTCTACTAATAGGTTCAATTAAATGTTGACTACCCTGAGACAAGCATGTTACCATTGCCACTGCATTTCCAGAATTGCCTAACCTAGATATAACCAGACCCGAACGTGTTCTAGAATAGTATGTTTATTTACAGGTAAATTAAACAGGCGTCATCGCCACGAAAACCAAGCATCGCAAGATGAAAGAACTATAGAATTATCGTGTTTTTTGTTTACTGCTTCTAAAGATTGTTCTACACAGTTTACCAACTGCAGCCCTGTGTGTCAAAAACTGGCAGACATATGTAATCAACTGTCCTTTTACAGTAAATTCTTATCTTTAACGTGCAAAAAACATACGTTATATGACATAATCGCTCTCTACCGAAATGTCGACGACCAGTTAAAACAAACGTCAACAGACGTGAAAATATTTTGGCGGGATCTTATAGACGACCCTGTTCTACTAATGAAAACTATTGCAACGGGAGCGTCTAATAAAGGGATCTTCGCAACACATAGTGAAGGCGTCAAATTTCAAAATCAAGGTGGGCTTCGTAATAAAACAGATGAAGGGAAAAAACAACAAAAACAAAAATTCGCAAATAATCAACCGGAACATGAAACTTCAAATGTTGAACAAAAATACCAGGAAGGCCTAGTTAACAATTGTACAGATCACTTAGTTCGGGAACAAATCGGCTCTTCGGATGTTAATCGATTTAATAGTCTTGTTGTACTCGGCCTTTCAATCATCTCAGCTGTACTTATTTTTCTTGCGTCACATTAATTGGTAATTCAATTAAAAGTGTACCGGTACCAAAATTTCATTCCGTTTATTTCCCGATAAGTGGTTTAACGCCGCTTCCTTATTGGTGACATCGCAGATAAATTTTGTCTTGCTCTACAGTGTAGACATTCCTTTACAGGGAATGTTACATAATGTCAAAATCGTGTTTGGTCGACTTTATAGACAACCCTTCCGGTCAAAACCATGGTTGCAGAAAATTCAGGTCAAATCAAACGCGTTTTTCTAGAGGAACGAAAATAACATGTATTTTAATTAGATTATTAGGTAGGTTAGATCGTTACAGTACAAACCCCAATATAATCTCGCTATGTATTTTTAACATTTGAACGGGGAATGTTTCTATCTTGTAGACTACTTTACTACTCAAATTCCCCTAGCAATAAGCATATATGTATCATTAGGGTCAATCAAATGAAAAAATTTTTTTTAATTATCTTGTAATTACAAGATAGCTATCTTGTTATTACAAGATGACTATCCTGTAATAATTAATTACAGGATACGGAAAAGCCCATGAGTAATTTATTTCAAGGTCGCCATGCACTGATTTTGTCGAATAGCTAGGCCAACGACGTACTTTATTTTATCTTACCGAATCGGCACATGCATGCTCTCCTTAAAGCCACAAAATGCTATTAATATTTTTCAGACAATTTCTTTAAATTTTGATTTTTTGCCATTTTTGTTTGTTTTGACTTTACACAGTTTTATTGTCTGCAGAAGTTGCCGATTCAAATCTGTTAAAAATCGGAGGCATCCGATGGCATCGAGAGTTGATTATTGTCTTTTCATGTTAATAAATGTCTAATTAATAGTTTGTATAACATTTAAGTTCTAAAGAAAAACTTGCAATAGGAAGATTTAGCCCTTGCATAATGTATATTTAATAAGAACCCACTGACGTATATTTAGCTAAATTTTTATCACATTTTTGGCCGTTTTGTTTTCGTTCGTTTTACCTTTACACGGTTATATAAGTTCTGGTCGTTTTGGATTAGCGCCGTTTCGTCTATCTCTTTTAAACAAGCCGTTGCCATACTTACGTTTCGCTGAACCTCTTTGATGCGAATCTATTTAATTCGATTGAATCCAAGCCTGCAAATTATCTATCGTTGCGATCTTCAGTGTTTTTTGGGGTTTTTTTTGCTTTTTTTCGGTGAGTGTGCTTTTCATTGTAAATGGTCTATTGTAGTCTACATTTAATTGTTAAATATTATTATATATATATCGGCAGTGTATTAAATATATACATTATTTTTTTTTTTAAGTATGTACATTATTTTTAAGTACCGTATGTAGATTAATTTTAAAGCTTCTATTATATGTTGAAAAAAGTAAAAAGCATAGATGAATGAGTTTTGATGTATTATGCAATTTTTACTTCAGTGTTTTGATTTTAATTTTATGGGGATTCATTACATTTATTTATATTACATTTATTTATGTAACAGTTAATGATGTTATGATGTGATTTAATTAGACCAATTCGGACCAATCGGAAATTTATTTATATTACATTTATTTATATAACAGTTAATGATGCCGAGCCACGATGGCTAAGTGGGTAAGACGCTGGTTCGCTAGCCTAGAGATCGCGTGTTCGATCCCTGCATTGGTCGAGCAAGTGCATCAGGATTTTCTGGCGTGGTTTCCCCTTGTCAGTGGTGCAGGATGGTGGGCCTGACAAGGACAGCTGTCTAGTCGTTCGGATGGGACGGAAAACTGAGGACCCGTGTATACATTGGTGTGCATGTAAAAGATCCTTTGGCAGTTGGAATTCGATATAAGAGTAGGCCATAGTGCCGCTGCCCTGGCAAAATTTCCCTCATATGCCCATCTTCATTAGCCCAAATTAGACCAACTGGGACCAAAAGTGAATGATAAGGAGGTCAATGGATGGGCATAAAAATTATCTCATAACTTTTAGCTCACAAAAATGTTTGACTTTAATCATGACATTAAATGGAGTATTGTCTGCTGTGTTATTTCTGTGTTTTTGATGGATTAGATATTTGTGGAAATTGTAAATTGGTTAATATGAAGATAGATTTATAGTCTACCAATGTCAGTTTATACTTTATTGAATACTGAAGCTGTTAAAACATTTGAGTCAAGGAAAACCCCTGAAGTGGCGTGCACAAATTTCCTTGTTATGCCATCGTCTTGCTGATAACTTAAAAGAGTTAAGAATGTATTTTCACTGGCTTCGACCCTTCGTGTTCAGAACATAATTTTGAGTAGAATAGCTTCAAGGACAGGTATTGTCCACAAGGCAGGGTTTACTTGCTGTTTTGTGAACACCTGATGTCACATTTCATTTGCGGTGCTCACATAGCCGACACATTTTGTTTAAATACTTTTTATATAGGGAGAGAGAGAAATGGGGTTTAACGCCCACTCAACACAAACCAGGCCATTTCAGAACTAACATATGGTTCAATTTTATTTCAATAATTGGCTTGCGCGTAGTGGTCTTTGGCAGTGGGAGGAAACCGGAGGACCCGGAGAAACCCCACCAGACTGGACAGGCGACCCTACTCCTTGTCACATACAACCGGGGAATCGAAACCACACCAGTTGACTCAATGACAGACCTTATGATACAGCACGCATGTGCTAACAATTCGGCCATCCAACCCACGCCCCCTTTTATATAGGACACCACCGTCTAAAACAATTTAGAATGATAAAAGAACATCTTTATTATACTGGACATATATCTATGGATGAATCACATAAAGGTACAGCAATATTATTTATACAAAATAAACGAACAGTGAGTAGTCTTGATCATTCAAGCCATTGGTTATGTGGTTACTGGTATTCTCCACATAAGTCTCGCTATTCAGCATGCAACTCTGCACTGGTTTGACCCGGAGGTCATCAGTCACATGATTAATTACATGATGAAAATGGTCTGTCAGTAAAGTTTCTGGCGTTATTAAATTTTAGGGGAAAATGTAGTCATGAATTACTACCCTTAGCCCCCCCCCCCCCTAAAAACATCAGTCTAATTGACTATTTTGCGTGTTGAAAAGGAACTGATTCTCACCCGATTACGTTTAATGAGGACAAATGTACTAGACCTGACCTTAGAAATAAGGCCTGACGATCGTGTTATAAAGGTGAACAGATCCACATGTACATATTCTAAAATAAGCACGATATACATGCGCAGTTCATATTTCGCAAAAGAGTTAGTGTGAAGCTGGTCGTCCTCTACTATGGACATGTATTTCCTTAAAATCATCACCATAGTCATAACGATAAAAGATAATGCAGGGGTCTGATTTCCTATACTGAAATCCTTTTACAAGAAGCCAATTTACAATTCCACCATCATTGTTTCTGCGCTTGTTCTTAAGAAGTATTTCTGCCAAACTCTGGAAATTGATAAAATCTAAGTTATGAAAATTTGTTACACGATAGGGTTGTATACGGCGTGATCTTTGAAAGATAGAAATCCAGTCAAGCATTGAAAAAACATTGGTATGTCGCTTTTCATGCTCTATAGCGGCGTGCATGCTATCACATTCCATATGGGAATAGCTGCTCTCCAAGAAATTGTGAGTAATTTTTTCAATCTGTGTTGTCTGTATTACATGCAAGAACATAGCAGCCACATTTTGGTTACGGTTTTGACCACCGCACGTGTCTGAAAATAAAGACACTTCTTTGACATATTCTGGTAACTCACATAGCCATTTGTACAGACATGTCGCAATTTCATTGCTTCCTCGTCCACCTTCTACCTCTGACCAACAATAGCAGAATGCGTCATTTGGTTTGGCAGTGTAAATACATAAGATGCAGACACTTAATTTTGTACTATAATATAATAATGATGCAGTACTGCTTGGTATTTGCAGTACGCTTTGCAAGTCAAATGTAGCAGCAATAAATGTAGGATCAGCAACTGATCTGCCTTTGTCTTGTGCTTAATTAGCGGCCTGCGCCTCGACTTTTCGTTTCAGATGTAAATCATGTTCTGCTTCAAATGCTCCTTTGTTCGATTTAATTAGGAGGTTATATTTGGTGCATTTGGAGCATTGGTCCTTCTTTGGATGATAAAATGACAAATTAAATTCATCACAGAATATATTTCTGTAAACTTTATCTCCTACAGGTTTCAAGGGAGGTTCGGCTGAAATACATTTCTCTGTATACAGACGGTACATTTTTGATATCGAAAGATTCGGATCAAGGTAGTAACGATTTGAATCCCTGCGAGTGTAATGCGATGCTATTCTCGAGAAACTATCAATATGATTTCTCACAAACTGTAGGCTATCAGTTTTAGTTTTATTTGATGGAGAACGTTTGCCACGATTATCTTCTACTTCAAATGTAGCTGATTCTGTTGCATGTTTAATTGCAGTCTTTATTGGTCCAAAACTGATGTTTAGTGTTGATAAGAAAAAATTCTTACATACACGTGTTGTAATTTTTCTGTTGACATTTTCGGAAATGAGTACAAAATTGACTGATTTCTGGCTCTTTTGCGTTGGTTCGCTTGAACACGCGCTCGCTGTACATTAAAGACCTCTATTCTTGACAGCAGATAATCCTTTTGTCTCTTATAGTCAGCTAAATCCCAATAAGCTTTACAAATTGCAGCTCGATCATCTTCATTGAAATCCATGTTGCATTTGTATCTGCAATTACAATTACAGGGTATTGGAGTTTTTTCTGACATTAGTTTTCCAGCTGAATTGACATGGGTTTTTTTTCAGATAACTTCAACTTCTTTCTGACATTTCGTTTCCAGTTAGCTTGATTTGCCTGTCTTTTTCTGCTACCCTGAATGTTTTGTTTCCCTGTTACTTCATCTTGTGTGTTGTCTTGTTGTCCACCATCTTGTGTGTTGTCTTGTTGTCCATCATCTTGGGTGTTGTCTTGTTGTCCATCATCTTGTGTGTTGTCTTGTTGTCCATCATCTTGTGTGTTGTCTTGTTGTCCACCATCTTGTGCGTTGTCTTGTTGTCCACCATCTTGGGTGTTGTCTTGTTGTCCATCATCTTGTGTGTTGTCTTGTTGTCCATCATCTTGTGTGTTGTCTTGTTGTCCATTATCTTGGGTGTTGTCTTGTTGTCCACCATCTTGGGTGTTGTCTTGTTGTCTATCATCTTGTGTGTTGTCTTGTTGTCCATTATCGTGTGTATTGTCTTGTTGTCCACCATCTTGGGTGTTGTCTTGTTGTCCATCATCTTGTGTGTTGTCTTGTTGTCCACCATCTTGTGTGCTGTCTTTTGTCCATCATCTTGTGTGTTGTCTTGTTGTTTACCATCATGTGTGTTGTCGTGTTGCCCATCATCTTGTGTGTTGTCTTGTTGTCTATTATCGTGTGTGTTGTCTTGTTGTCCACCATCTTGTGTGGTGTCTTGTTGTCCACCATCTTGTGTGTTGTCTTGGTCATCATGTACATCATGTCGTGCCTTGTTATGTGCAGAAAATTTCTTTGTGGTAAAGAATTCATCATCAGAAGTAACATCACCATCGGAATCAGACGTGTTATAATCTGGATCATTATCAGTATCATCAAACTCGCTTTCGATATCCTCTAATAGTTCCAGCGCCTCCGTACCATGTAGACATCGTCCTAAAACAAAAACAATAAAATATTTCAACTTCCTTATTATTCATTGCGAAATATCAATATTGTAACATTTAATATGAATTAAAAGTGATCATGTTTTTGTCCTTGGTCGTAGGCCTACTTCAGCAAGAAATGGATATATCCATCAAGGGCTAAACTAAATTTTAATGACGTACTTTTGGAATATCTTTATGTATTATATTACATTATTTTTATATATAAGGTTACACTAGATAAATTAAGTGCCTCTTACCTCGTCTAGCAGCCATTGTTGGGTATCATTTTATAATGAACACATAAAAACATATCCTACAACACAATGTGGAAGTAGTTAGTAAAGGCTGATTCACAAATGACAAAATAATAATTTTAAACAAAAAGTGTAGAATGCGTTGAGCAGGCATAAACGATTACCATTCAATTTGAACTGTTCCCATATTTCCGATTCCAAAAGAATAGAACCATATGCCTTTAAAGCAAAAAAAAAAAATTAAAAAAAAATGTACCATGCTTCATAAATGAGTATAATTACTATCTCTATTCAGTTCAGCCCTACTCTGATCTTGTTCTGCATGTCAGATAATAAAGGATTATTCTTCCAAATTCTGCTGCCATTCGATCATTAGTCACTTGCTATGATCTGTTAAAATCTGCTTTGAAAATATAGAATGACACCTTATATATACATGGTTTTATAATATGGTAAAGTATGAACACTCATCTTGTGAATACATATACAATCGGGGAAAAAAATATAAGAATATTTCTCATTTAACAGCAGAAAAATAGGTGTGATGTATATTACCACAATAGCCTTAATATCAGACAAATATAGCTTACTCAATTTTGGATAAATGTATCTTCTGAGCACTCTTTTTGGATGTGCTAGTTAGATCCCTACTCTCGGTTATTCTTAAAAGTGGAAGGAATTGCCCATAGGCAGTTTGTTTGAAGGAATGAGATCAATGTTACTTACAAAAAATAATTTTGTTATAGTACTTATATAGCAATGATCGTCACCAATGATATATAAGCATTTCTGTATGTTGAATCATTTGGTTAGCTAGGCCATTTGACTCTATATACCTCTATGTAAGCCAATATATGATATGTGTTAAAATAAAAATAACAAAAAAACTCAGATTTAGCTTGCGGATGACGAATTCTTGGCCCCACATCATCAGGGGTAGCTGGAAGTTTGAGGGGGTGGGGGAAATGGGGAAGAGATTAATTATTTCTCATTTTCTTTGCCCTTTTCTTTATCAGTCCTTTTTGGGTTTTTGTGGCATGAAAATTTCGTAAAAGATCTTGAGGGAAAAGATCCTCAACTATCCATTGGGGTCCTTTTACTTCCCTTAGTCGTGTTTTATACCAAAATTGCC